TTCTAGCAACGAATGTTTAACTGTGAAGGTAGCCCGCGACCTTCTCTGTTCATTTCCTTGCAGTCCTTTCTCTTGCTCCTACCTTTTGGGATCAGGGGTATTTTAAGCAATTGGAAATTAAACGCAGGTGAATTTCTGGAACTCCTTCCCCATACTATCCTATATGTTTCTCCGTTTTATTATTTTCATTCGTGTCTTCATATTCTTTACTATATTTCTAAATCCCACACCTCTATCCTGGCAAGAGGTATTTTTTTGTCTAGGCTAGTCCCCGACAGCAGAGGATCTGGATTCAGTTGCCAGCAGCCCCATGGAGACTTCCAACCTGTCCCAGGTATCCTTCTTCTGGCCTCTGCAGATACTGCATGCAGATGGTACAAGCATGCTTACAGGCAAACACTTATACACACAAAATAAAAATAAAAAAACTTAAGAAAATAAAATGTAAACTCTACAAGGCCTAGAGTCCTAGCTGCAGGCATCACACTGATGCTTCCAAACAATAGGATGCTGGAACTGACCAAGTGCCGAAACAGCTGCATTAAAATAATATTTTTACAATTTTTGTTTTTGTCACAGGCCTTCTTTTCCTTTTGGCAAATTGTTTATGCCACCTGACGTGGGTGCTGGAAATCCACCCCAGGCTCCCTGCAAGAACAGTATATGTCTTACCTGCTCAGCTACGGCTCCAGTCTATGCCATTATACATTTGTAAACCTCTTGGTTTACACTGAGATGCCTCGGTCCCTATCCTCTGCCTCCCTCCATGTCAGATCTGTCTAAAGATGCCTTAAAACATGAAGCAGGAGCCACTGAACAATTTATCAAAGGAGTCACATACTGGGGTCACAGTCGTCTGAAATCTCCCTTTGTTTTATCATCTTAACATCAGTGGATGAACACGAGCATGGAAAAGTTTGCCTTCCCGCAGTTCATCTCAGCGGTAATGATTCTGCTGACTGGCTCAAGGCTGACGTGAAATGATGGATCAAAAGGTACACTTGCCGCGGTGGTGACGCTGATGGCAGCAGAGAGTGAACAGGAGCATCAGGGTCAAGGCTGTAAAGGCCTGAAGGCATGAACACCCTCTGAGGAGTCCCCAATAGGGCAAAGATCAGACACAAGGTGTAGTCACTTAAATGACTTAAATCTAAATGCCTAGGCAGGAGCCACCTAGGCAACCATTTTGCCATTCAAAGACAACACTTTTCCCGATGACTTGTGTGAGCTCTTTGTGGTCTAGATAGGATACATTTTTTTTTCCATTTGCATCATTAAAATTTGTGTGTGTGTGTGCGCGCGCGCATTCTCATTTTCATGTTTATGTATGGAGGTTCTTGTTCACATGTATGAGTGTGCATGTGGGAATCAGAAGTCAACCTCCTGTGTCCGTCCTTCCTTCCTTCTGTCCTTCCTTCCTTCTGTCCTTCCTTCCTTCCTTCCTTCCTTCCTTCCTTCCTTCCTTCCTTCCTTCCTTCCTTCCTTCCTTCTGTCCTTCCTTCCTTCCTTCCTCCCTCCTTCCCTCCCTTCCTTCCTTTCTGACAGGTTCTCTCCCTTTTACCTGGAGTTCCTGAGATGGCTCTGCTGGCTGGCCAGTGAGTCATGGGGATCTGCCTGTCTCTGCTTCTGTAGCCCCGGGATTACAAACGTTACTCCTGTTCCTGGCTTTTCTTCAAGGGTTCTTGGCATCACACTCAGGTCTTCATGCAGGCAGGGCAAACATTTTTACTGGCTATCTCCCCAGTCCCTAGAGTCACTATTAGTAGTCTACTGCCCCATCATAGATTGCCATAAATTTAATGGCTTAAAATCACACAGTTATTGTCTTTCAGCTCAAAGTCCAGGTATTATGTCTACACTCTCTCCTTAGATCCCCATGAAGCTGAAATTAAAAGGTGACTGCACTGAATTCTCAACTCAAGACTGAGCTTACCTAAGGAAGAATCACTTCCAACCTCATTTAAGTTGTTGGTGGGAAGACAAAGGAACTGGGTTTCTAGTTGCCATAGGACCAAGGTGTCTGTATTGTTTGTTGTTGGCTGAGGATGGCTTGGAGAGGTTGCTTACAGGTCCTTGGCTTGTGGCCACTTCCAACTTCAAAGCCAGTAGTGAAGAAACTTCCTGGCATTAAATCTTTCTCATGTGTCCAATCTCTTTCTATAAGCCTAGAGCTTTGATATGGTCCCCATGATTGCATTCAGATTCATTCAGATAATCTCCTTTCTTAAAGACACACACATCACATGGTCACTGGAGCGCGCAGAGCACTGTATTCAAAGCAGAGGATTATGCTGTGTGCATATGCCAAGGGTCAGGAATCTTAGGCAACAAAGTGTTAGTTAGCTAGCCCATAGAGACCAAATCCCTCGAGGGCTGGAAGTGGGCAGAGAATGTTCTAGACAGTGCCTTGCCATTGATGTAGCTCAGCTAAGACAATTGATCTAGAAAACACACCTCTGCCAAACCTCACTTTTTTTATTCTCAGCACTTACCACAACCTGACATGCTACATATATGGATGGATTGTCCCTTACTTGGGTTTGGGTGCATAGAATCAGAAGTGCTACAGGTGCAAGTCTGTAATATTCATATATGCAGAATTGGGTATCTTGGCTATGACCCAAGAGTAAGTATGGAATCCACGTATGACATATGTTTTATACACAGAACTGAAAAGTACTATTTTAACTGTACTATTTTAAGATAATTTTGTGCTTGAGACAACATTTTGTGGTGAAGAATCATCTCTGGTGTTATGGTGCCTGAGAATTTATGACATTTTGAATCTGCAATTATTATAGCATATATGTATATATATGATATATACTATTAAATATGTCTTTGTTCACTACCGGACTTCCCACGATTCAATGGACCCATCTTTGAGGAATGGACTTTTTCTAGCTTATTCACTTGTCTTGTGTCCCCAGTATTAAAACTAGTGCTTGACACATGATAAACACCAAATAACTAAGAATTTGTAAGAGCTGGGGGAGATGGCTCAGAGGATAAAGTGCTTGCTGTTTACACATGAGGACCTCAGTTCTGATCTCCAAACCTATAAAAATCCCAGAACTTGTGAGAAAGCCTGGAACAGTAGTGCATGCGTTTATAATCCCGTGCACGTTGCCCACAGAAGCCAGGGAAAAGTATCAGAACCCCTCAGACGGGAGTTAGGCTGAGCTTGCAGCCTCCAAAGCGTCACACCAAACACCAAATAAACATTTGTTCTTTATCAGACCTCTAGCCTCAGGTGTTTTGCTACAGCAACCAAAAGCAAACCTTGCAGTCACACACCTCATTTTATACAAGATTTTAAAGCTTCACTTCTCCAATGCCCAGGAAAGGTAGAGGAAGCAGTGAGGAGAGAGCCATCTGACCACAGTACAAGCAGGACCTCTGAGGAGTCAAAGAAGCAGAAGGACCAGTAGGACTGCTTCAGGCTGTAGCATGTGCCTGGCAACCAGCATGCTGTCTGTTAGAGAAGTCCTTCCTCCTGGTTCTAACACCCTGGTCACACTCAGAACTCAGCTGGAGAGGCTCAAGGCCATGGAGCTGGACCTGAAACAGCAACAGACTTACCTACAGGCTGTGTTGACAGCCCATCACACTCCCCACCTTGTGTTCTGCTAACAGGGACCCAGGAAGCTCATCTCTACCACTGTTGGGTGGGATGAAGGACAGAGGACCAGCCTCAGGGCTTTCCCTTCCCAGGGTTCCTCTTCCATGCCTTCCATAGAATTCATGCTCATTGAGAATCCTCAGGAACCCAGTGTGGGTTGGGGTGTCACAGGGCATTGGAAAGTGAGGCAGGGAAACCTTACTTGATTGGCCTTGATGAAACACGCCTGTAATCTAGCATTTGAAAGACTGAGGCTCAAGGTCAACCTGGGATACTTAGCAAACCCTGTCTCAAATACCAGCAATGCAAAACAATAAAATAGAGCCGGGCGGTGGTGGCACAAGCCTTTAATCCCAGCACTCGGGAGGCAGAGGCAGGCGGATCTCTGTGAGTTCGAGACCAGCCTGGTCTACAGAGCTAGTTCCAGGACAGGCTCCAAAGCCACAAAGAAACCCTGTCTCGAAGAAAAAACAAACAAACAAACAAAAAAACAATAAAATAGAGCTATAGACACTCCCAGACCACGAAATACTGGAAACACACCATTGTGTCTGTATCAATCCCACTCTCACCGCCCTTGTCTTGACTCTCAGTGACAGCTGTAGTGGATTTTGACCCTTTCACTCTTCCAGCACACACACTCTCTCTCTCTCTCTCTCTCTCTCTCTCTCTCTCTCTCTCTCTCTCCCCCCACCTCTCTATGTCTATCTGTCTCTCTCTCTCAGAACTCTTTCTCTCTCTGTGTCTGTCTGTTTGTCTGTCTGTCTCTGTCTCTTTGTGTGTGTCTGTCTGTCTCTCTCTCACACACACATGCATACACACACAGTCACTGTACAAATTAAGCACATGTACATTTAAAACACACTTGTAATTACAGCACTCAGAAAGCCAAGGCAGCTGAATTATAAGGTTTATGTCCAACCTGAACCACATTCCAAAATACCAACAAAGGCAGGTAGGGTGATGCACATCTTTAATCCCAGCGCTCAAACGAGAGAGGCAGGCAGATCTCTGTGAGCTCAAGGCCAGTCTGGGCTACATAGCAAGTCCCAGGCCAGCTAGGACTACATAGTGAGACCCTGTCAAAAAATAAAACAAAAAAACCCAAAACACCAGCAAACTGCAAGCAGCATAAAGTTAGCGAAGAAACAGGCATAAATCTACAAACAAACAAACTCAACATAAATCAACATGGAGGGGATTTCCTAACCTCTGCTCTACATTGGAGAATACTGGCCTCTTGAAGAAAGGCTGGAAAACAAGCAAGCATCCAGGTTCTAGCATCTTCTGTGGCTCTGGTTCATTCTCCCACGTCTACCTTTAGATTTCACTTCCCCTTCTCCCAACATGTCATCATCTTTCACATCTTTGTACCTACCATCCCCTTCCTACAATGCTCTTCCAGGTCCCCACTTGCCGCCAGGCCAGTGGCGACAGCTCAGGTCCTGTGCAGGGATCCAGCGGACTCAGGTTGACAGTCCCATCAGCTCTTACAGGCTCATCTCCCTGGGGCCATTGTACTTTCTCTTCGCAAAGCTACATCTCTACTCCAGGGAAGGAATTTTTGTTTTGTTTGTGATTGTCACCCTAGCAACTATCATGGCAACACTGTCTTAGGGCTCACTGGACACTCAGCTGAATTTGATGGATGAAAGAGACTGCTTCGTGGACGCTGTGTGTAAAAGACCCCGAAACATTTTCACTGTGAGCTTGCTCTGAATATAAACAGCTACCATGTGCTGCCATTTCTGCTAGCCTGTGTATACATCTCATTCAGAGAAATGTATGTTGAATTATTTCCTAACAGAGGTCATGTATTTTTTTTAATTTATGGTTTGTAATTAATGAATAGATGAACTACCACACAACCAATTAGGAGACAGAGCTGAGAAAACGGTATGTGTAAATACGCAGCCGGACTGTGCTTCGTTACCCAGAGTTTCTCCCTATGGCCCATTTTGTAACAGCAGACACTGAGATTAGCATTTCTGCTTTGTGCTACTGTAACAAAGCTGAAGCTGAGCAATTAATAAAGGGCAGGGATTCCTTTCTCACCGTCATGGAGGCTGGCAAGTTGAGGGTTATGGGTCCCATGGTTGTTGAGGCTTGCTTACATATCATTCTATGATAAGAAGAGAAAAGGAAAGAGAACTGGAGGTGAGAGGAAGGAAGGGGAGAGGAGGAGAAGGGGAGAAAGGATGAAAAGAAGGAAAGAGAAGAGAGGAAAATGGAGAGAAGAAGAAGAAGAAGAAGAAGAAGAAGAAGAAGAAGAAGAAGAAGAAGAAGAAGAAGAAGAAGAAGAAGAAGAAGAGGAGAGACCTTGTGAAGCCAAGGACATGGCTGAGCTGGTAAAGGTGCTTGCCCACAAGCCTGATGATCTGGATGCAATCCCTGTAAACCACAGGATGGATGGATGCAATTTGTGACTCCCACAAGTTGTCCTCTCTCTCTCTCTCTTTCTCTCTCTCTCTTTTTCACACACACACACACACACGTGTATTTTTTAAAGTGGTTTTTGATCATTGTCCTCACTTACACAGAATCACACTTTGAGGAAGAAAAAAAGATGTGACTAAAAATAGCTAAAGGAATGCTTACAAGATGTGTTTCATCATTGTGGGTAGATGGTTGAGGGCTGAGGCAAGTGCCCTGAATTACTGCCTGAGCATCTAGAGAACGGACATTTGGAGATTTCCTTTTGCCCACATATTGGGCTTTTTTAGACTAATTTGTTGGGAGATCAGGAACTGAACTGATGAAGGCCTTGGGTTTAATCTGATAACAAGTGGGCAAGGGTTTTGCATCTCCAGCACTGTGACAAGTCACAGGGCCTTGTGGGAATGAGGAGCAAGCACAGACCAGAATATCTGTTTACACACCATCCTCATTAGAGACTCTGGGGAAGGCTCATCTCATGCAACCTTTGCTTGAGTGTGTTACAGGAAATGATTACAGAATGTGCCAACAGAAAGACATCCATGAGTCGTCATTCAGCTCAGTTAATCCTACGGAATGAAGACAAAGGGTGGCAAAGGTTTTGCTTCTGCAAGACACAGATAAGATTCACAGAAGTCAAATTTAGGTTATGGAACAATTGGCGATTACCCAGTCATCTGCAAGTGATCTGTGATCGCTCATTTATACAATTAACTGAACAACTATTTATTGAAGGTTCATTATATGCTGTTAGCACACAAAGCGAAGGTTTAAAGATAAATAGGGGACTGGGAACATGACTCAGCCAATAAACTGTATTTGCATGACGACCTAAGTTTGACCCTTAACACCCACATAAACAGGTGAGGTGGCAAGTGTCTGTAATTCTAGCCTAGGGGAGGTGGAGGCAGGAGGATCACTGGGTTCGAGGGCCAGCTAGCCTTGCTGATTTGATGAGTTCCAGGTTCAGTGTTAGATCCTGTCTCAAAAAATAAGGTGGAGAGGGATGGAGAATGATGACTAATGCCCATGTTCTACAGCCCCTGACCCCATGCGTGTATGTACAACATACTGTGATGACCTCACAGGTTCATCTACTTGACTGGTTTTCAGGGAGTAGCACTACTTGACAGTGATTAGGAGGTGTGGCCTCGCTGGAGGAAGTGTGTCACTGGGGTTGACTTTGGGGTTTCAAAATCCCAAGCCAGTCCCAGTGTCTTTCTTTTCCTGCTCTCCGTGGGTCCAAATGTAGCACTGTTAGCTACTGCTCCAGTACTGTGTCTGCCTGTGTGCCGCCATGATGATAATGGACTAAATCTCTGAAGCTATAAGCAAGCCCCAGTTAAATGTTTTCTTTTATAAAAGTTCCCATGCTCATGGCATCTCTTCACAGCAATAGAACACTGGCTAAGATGATGTTAAATAAATAAACAAGGACCAAGGGTATAGCTCAATAGTAGAGTGCTTGCTTAGCATGTCCAAGGCCGTGGTTTCAATCCCTGGTCAATAAAACAGTGATGATGGAGGAGGAGGAAGAGGAGAAAAGAAGAAGAGAAGAAGGAAAGAAAGGAAGGAAGGAAGGAAGGAAGGAAGGAAGGGAGGGAGGGAGGGAGGGAGGGAGGGAGGGAGGGAGGGAGGGAGGAAGGAAGGAAGGAAGGAAGGAAGGAAGGAAGGAAGGAAGGAAGGAAAAGAGAGAGAAAGAGTATGGGAGGAAGGGGTGAGGACGGTTATGGAACTGACCTGCAATCCTAACTAGAATGAGGAAATTTTTTAGCAAGATCTGGAGAAGCTGAGAGAGACATTCTGGGCAGAGAAGTCAGATGTAAATGCTCTACCAGGAAACAACCAGGAAACAAAGAGGGAGGGTTGTTGGGATGGGATGGCTGAAGCAACGGGACATAGGATGGAGACATAGGGATGGCTGGGAGAGTCCTCTGAGCCCTTGTATTTGTCATGAGGAAGATGCTACAGGGTCCTCCACAGATGGATGGCCATCTTTTGCCTCACGTGGAAAAGCTAGACTGTAGGTGCCCATAAGATGTCTGCTGGATCACCTACTCCTGTTCCTCAGGAACCAGCTTCCTATGAGACAGGTGTCCGCACTTAGGACATGATGAATTAGTAACCTCCCACCCAGCACAAGGGAGAGGCACCACCAGAGGTGGCTGGGCAAGGCTTCCTGGGACATAGGAATGAACCTAGGAGATAGCATGAGATGAGGGAACCCTTATACAGAGAGAGCCCTATGTGAGCAGGCATGTAAGATGGGCCCAGAGAAAGGCCAGAATCAACCCCAGAGTTGGTGATGGGTGGCAGAGGTGAGCCTGAGTTGTGTGTCCTTTGTGCTCCCTCCAGGAAGCTGCACAATGCTCCCCTAAGGAGTTTGAGCTGTACAGAAGGCATGGAAACCCTGAGGCGTTCTGAGTCCAGAATTTAGCCATTCTTTGTGAAATTAACCTGGCAATGAATTTCCACTTAGAATTTTTTCCTTTTTTAAAAACTTTTTTTAAAAAAAAACACATATCAAAAAGAAAACCCCACAAACAAAAGCAAAAACATGTAACATAAAATTTGCCATTTTGACCATTTCCTAGTAGTTTCAATTATCTCAGGGACATTATTACTCACACTGCTGAGCCACAGACCTCCAGAACCTCACCGGGGAAACTCAAACTCCATCCCGTTAGACACCTACAACTAATAACCTGTCAGTCACCACACTGATTCCAGTCTCTAGGAATCTGCATTTTCACGATACTTCATACAGAGTCAGGAAGCATTTGGGTATTTGTGGCTAGTGTAGAAGGACTTTTCTTTTGGGATGCCAGCTGACAAAAAAACGGCACAGAGTTATTATTAATTATGAAAGCTCCATTAGACTTGTTCCCAACTAGCTTGTATGACTTAAATTAGTCAATATTTTTTAATCTACATTCTCCCATTTGCTCGTTACCTCTTCTCTCTGTCATGCTCATCCTGGTTATTCCGAGTCTGCCTGGCAACGCTGCCTTTCTTCTTCCCAGAGTTCTCTTTGTCCAAAAGCCCCGCCTCTACCTCCTGCCTAGCTACTGGCTATTTCGCTTTTTATTAAACCAATCACAGTGACACATCTTCACACAGTGTAAAGGAATATTCCACAACAGACTGGCTTGTTTTACTCAGCATACGGTCATCAAAGTTTGTCTGTTCTAGCCCGTGAAGGTGGTTTTCTGGTTAAACTGTATAATATGATAATTAGCACGGCCCTTTGCTTATATTCATTCATCTATTCATAGACAGCTGAGTGGCTATAAAACTGTAATGAACATGAATATCCAAACATCTGAGAGCTTGACTTATTCCCTGTAATCTATCCTTCTCCATCTTCTTTCTTTTTCCTTCCTTCGTTCCTTTCTTATTTCCTTACTCCTTTCTTCCCTCTCCGCCCCCTTTCCTTGCTACTTTGGTAGCCAGCTTCCCCTCTTTTATCTATTTATTGGTTCTGGATGCCAGAGATTAGACCCAAGGACTTACAAGGGCTTTTACGCTCTCTATTCCTAAGGCATACCCAGCCCCCATGCTTTTATCTACCCGCAGTCCTTCAGTCTGTGATGGCTTGACTTAGCTTTTAGACTTGGCAATGGCGTGAATGGAACACATTCAGTAGACACTGTCCTTTGAATTTTGACCTTTCCCCAAGCTATTGATGTATATAATACAACACTGTTCCACAACCCTGGGCAGCGACAGGAACCAGCAATTCTCAGAGAGCCCTGTGATCAAGAAGAGGACAACCAACACTCTGCAGTGTGTTGTGTAGCTAAGCCTAGGTGCTGGGTAGGTTAGGAGTTTTGAGTTATATATAGTGTTGACTTACCATGGGTTTAGCTGGGCACAATGCTGCCTGTTTATAATGCTAGTCCTTGGGAGGTTGAGGCAGGAAGATCAGGCATTTTAGCTATAAATGAATTGGAGACCAGCCTGGGCTATGGGAGATCTTATCTCAAAACAAACAAACCCAAGAGTAGTCAGAATTTCATCTCATTATGACTCAGAGGATCTATGTACTCTGAACTGGACTTTCTGGATCAAATGGTAGATACATTTTAAAATTTCTTGGGAACAG